CCCTACAGTTTAGCCCTATAGATACTACAGACAAATGCACAACAGCAGCCTTGCAAGATTATTTTAACTACTGATTTATATTAAATTAGTATTACTGGTATGTAATCCAGAGATGAGTATCTGAGCTCAAACACTTCCCAAATTTTAAAAGCAAGTTTTAGAAAAAGAACTGTTTAGACACACAAAACCAGTTGTGTGTCTAAAGGGCTTTTAAAAAATGGCTTTAAGGGCTTTTAAAAAAGCTGCTTTAAAAACCTGCTCCTTACATTGTCTAATTATCTAAAATTAAATAAATACTAAATTTGACACCCATCAAATTCAAAGGCCTGCGCGCTGTCTCTGTGAACAGGCACATCATAGCAGAATGATCCTGGAAGTCTTTCACACTTCTAATACCATTGAAATAAGCAGACACTCACAAAAATTTTAAAGAATGACCCTTCAGGCCACATCTATATTATTAATAAACCAAGCCAGGTTTGGTGCTGGCCAGGTGGTTCATACCTATGTAGCTAAAATCTTTCTCCCCAGAACACAGATTCTGATGTTTTCAAATTGATCCTACTAGTCATGATGACCATCATGCATACTATCCTTCATACTATGAATAGGTGTGTTTGGGAGAGCACTATTTGCCATGGGCCCAAACTGAGACAGGGAATGTATTAACAAACAACACAGACAACTGAAAATCAGCACTGTACATGTACCTTGGCCCTGTTTTATTTATGAGTATTGACCTATTCATTGGATAAATGGATAGAAAGTATTTTGTCAAATTACCAAGATTGTAAACACCTTTCCTATTTAATAATTCTCTAACTTCGATTATTTTTTAAATAAATAACACAGCGCAAGACGGATATTGATACACTGGAGCGAGTCCAGTGGAGAGCACCAAAATGATTGGAAGTGTTGAACGTACTAGGAGAAGCCGAAAGAGCTGGCCTTGTTCAGCCTGGAGAAAACAGGACAGCTCTTACTGCTGTCTAAAACTACTTAATGGCAAGGCACAAAGACAGAACCGCTGTCTTCACAGAAGTGCAGATAGGACAGGAAGCAAGAGACACAATAGGAACATGAGAAATTCCAATTATGAAGCAATTTTTCATCATGAAGGTGGTCAAACATTGGAAAGAGCTGCCCAGAGAGGTGGTGGAGTCTCCATCCTTGGAGATATTCCAGACTCAACTGGACACACACCTGAGCATCCTTCTCTAGTTGACCCTGCTTTGAGTGAAAGGTTGGACTCAATGACCTCTGGAGGTCCTTTCTGAGCTATATTATGCATGTTTCTGTATGTTGAATTCTTTGTTTCCCATTCTTTGTTTCCTTCTTTTTTGATGTGGAAAATGAAAAAAAAAAGTATTAGGAAAAGTTGAAGGAACGTGTGTGTACACATGTGTGGGTACACTAGACAAAAGAAGATTAGAAGAAATATCATGAGCAAAAGAAGAAAAGAATAATGCTTTTAATCTACATAGAAATGCAATAAGAGAGATTTACATCAGTCATTAAGAAAAACTTTCTAATGGCAAAGACTGTGGTCTGCCTAGAAATTTTTAAAAACAGATTTGATAGACATTTGTTATAATGGTTTAAAAACTTTCAAACAGTGTGGACTGGCTTAAGTACATTCCTAAGGCTCCTTCCAATTTTGGTCTGATCTATGTTTTGGACTAGGTATTAAATTTTTGTTAGACAATCCTATGAACTAAAAACTCAGTATTTCCATAAGTCAAAAAAGCATTTTATTAAAACTGAATTTTACCATATTATAATTCCAAATCTTCAAAATAAGATAGAGATACTTAATTTGAAAATAAGCCTGTGTATTCACAGGAATATGAAGTGTTACACTGTCCACTAGGGGGCTTTTATTAGAACAATAAAAAATACTAGGGGGCACATTTAAAAGAAAAAAATATAATGAAAATTGATATATAAGGAGTTACTTCATAATCAGAACAACTGTAGACATATATACCATAAAATCAGATTTATAATTTGGTGTCCCCAAAGAGGCAGTCAAGAAATTGCTTCATGGTTAAGGTTGTTATGTGCTTTCTTTTCTTCTGCTTAAAAAGATTATATTAGCCTTCAAACTGGTAGGACAAATCTGCTGGAAAAGTTCTCTTTTTTCATAAAACTTAAGGAATGAATCAAGACTTGCGAATTATAATGTCACAGATACAAAAATACTACCAGGGCTTTAAAAAAATTACAGATACTTATTTTTTTTTTTTGTTACTGGTGACAAAATTAGTACAAAAGAAAACTGCCAGAGACTTAATTATTTTTGTAGGAACTTACTTTCTTGCTGAGATGCCTTGAAATGAAAAAACACATCTAGCAATGTGTTGATAGGGAATAAGATAATGTTGCAAGCAACAGGTTTTACTCTACAGATCTTCAAAAATCTTTGATGAGAGGGACTGTCAGAAATGGAGCTGGATAGTTTAGAAAATGAAATGGTATCATGCATTCTGGGAAACAAATGGTGGTAAAAATTAACTACATCTTCTGTAATAAGCCATCGGATGTTTTTCTTTTAGAAATTTGAAAGTACCAGCTCCCATTCCATCCATTATTATACTGATACAAAATCCACGTTTCCGTTTCCTGGAGTACATCCCAGTACTTTTATTAGGCACTGCACAAACAGAAAGAAAAGATCATCCTATTTGTTCATGGTCTATTGGAAAATCTCTGTGCTCTCTGAAGTTGAATGACTTGCCTCCATGTGAACAAGAAGGGTCACATGAATCACCTTACAGGATTGGGAATAGGACTTGATTATTATGTGTTACATATATCCCTTTCTGAAAAGAGAAGAGAGAAGAGAGAAGAGAAGAGAGAGAAAAGAGGGAAGAGAGACGAGAGACGAGAGATGAGAGAAGAGAGAGAAGAGAGAAGGGAAAGGGAAAGGGGAAGGGAAGGAAATATTTTCTAAGCCTCCTGTAACTAAAAGGCCATTTTTCAGCAATTGCATTTCTGGCAAAATGGTTACTTGGTCCTTAACAGTAGTCTTTACTGCAATCAGAAACACGTCATTTTGAATTACAGGGAACAGCAAGGATACTCTAAACCAAAAGACATTATGAAGCCAAGGCAACATTTCAAATGCAGTGTATGTTTACCTTCTATGAAAATGCATTTCCGTATTTGTGCTAGTTTTCTAGCTAACGTTTTCTTTCCAGAACCCTTAAAATGAAAAATATACATTTAAAGGAAAAACAGGCAGAAGGAAAAAAAGCCCAAACATATTACACAATAAAGAATATATTTTCATATGATAAAAACAGTTAAAAGCTACCATCAGGATTAGGATCTCTGAGTTAGGCACTGGGCAAACACAAACACTCTTTTGAATACCATCCTCTATTCTATACTGTCTTGCATTGCTAATAGACTGTTACTGTCCTTTGCCGTTAATTATTTCCAGAGTAATTATATTGACTTTGTTTCTGAGTAACTCTCTCTAAAACTCAGCTATGATTTCCCTATAAATTCCTACGAGAAACCCTTTGGGACTGAAATTTATTATCTTCAGTCTCAAATTATGATGCAAACCTGTCCAGCCATTTCTTGGGAAGATACATAGGGATAGTATTCTTTAACTAAAACAATGAATATGTAAAAACTGCCCTTGTTAGTCCACAAATCTGGTTTACATACTGACAAAATGTTTATTTTATCACTTATATGAATCCTGAGGAACCAACATAAGCAAGAGTAATGAGGCCTCTAAGAGTACAGGTACCTGAATAGGATTTTGCAAAACTCCCTGCCTTCTACCCTTAGGATTATGCCCTTTTTTCAAAGGCATACAAGAAGACCTTTTTTGACAGTCTGTTTGCCCTAGATAAATTTTGTGATTAAAAAATTTAAAAAAAACACAAATAAATCACAGTCCCAGTTAACAATGTATCAGCAAACACTCCAGCCTATGAGTGTGATGAGAATATATGTATTTGGTTTTGCTTTAATGGCACTATGCTTTTAGCTTAAAAGAAGTATTTTAAATAAGACAGATGCTCTATGCATCAGTCATATAAATAAAAGATATTATCATAAAAATAGAATATTTAATTCCCTGTCTTCTTAGCTGGGCCTGTGCAATTTTAACCCTTTGTTAAAATTTGTATTAATATCAAACATCTACTGAAGGCAATGATTTCACATAAGAATATCAATTCCTTATATGTTTTTTGCACTGTCCTTCAATGTGTATCTTATGCTGGTTTGGCCTATAAAAATATAAAGTTGGAAATGTGTCATTTGTTTCAAACTAGGCAAGCCAGTCCACTGTAGTTTTCTACTGAGCTGAATACATTTTCGAGTCTCATGCTGACCATAAGGCACACTTGTTGGCTATCACCTTATACAGTCTCACTGTGATGTTTGCATCTCATCCACTTGCAGAACACCACCCTGCCTCCTTTCTCAGTTTAGTCAAATGTAAAGATTTGCAGTCAAGCATTACCCAGCAAGTGGAGCCAAGGAGTAAGAAAGCATGCAGGCTTGTGCAAACACTATGGACTGGGAGCCTTCCACCCTGCTGAAAGTCTTTGAAGAAAGGAAATGTAGCTGCATCTTAACACTATGGCCATTTCCCATGATAAAATCTGCGACTGCCATGTGACTATATGCTGATGCACCGCACCACAATGTAGGAGGGCTCTACAGTAGTACGTGGTGTGGTGCAGAGAGGGACTGGGGCTTGATTTGGTGGGTCAACTGGCTTTGAAGTTTGGGTTTATTGTCGGTTCTAGGTGCACACCATTTATCTCTCTACCTGCTAGGCAGCACAAAGCAGATTTCCATTCGGTCATTTCACGCTCTGTTGTGTTACCTAAGGGAAACACACACAAATGCAGAGGGCAAGCTGATAGAGGACCTTTTGTTCACATGGGAAGTGGGGTGCTCTGAAGGCACCTTTCATGGGTAACTGCAATGTTGTTCAAGAGGAAAGCAGCTTTCAGGGCACCGGTGGTGTGTTTTAAGTGCATACCAGATTCAGTACAGACAAAAGGCAAACTTGCACCAAAAAAGAACCCCCTTCAGAAAACTAAGGCACTAATGTAAAATCACTCGTACAGTCTCCTACATTTGGGAAGATGAAATCTGAGAAGTCTAGGATTACAAAACATCAAATTTTACACAGTAAAGAAGGCCACAAATTGTTTGAGAAAAAGAGAGACCTTGCACGACAGTTAAAATATAGTACAAATCTCCTTATCAGGACACCTTGGTGGATTTCAGTCATTCCCAAATATATGACATATAATTACATCAAACTTTTAATATTAATATCTCATTGCATGTCTGTAAGTCAGTACATTGATTTGAAGGTATTTTATGTCTATTTATGTCTTTAATATGTCAAGTTTTTTAAAATTTAGGATACTGAAATAACATTAAAACAATCCAGTTGCCAATGTGAAAAGAGGAGAAGCTTTTTGAGCAACATGTGACTTTTAAGTACAGTAATAACATTTTTAATTGTAATTGACCAGTCAGACCAAAAATTGGCCTCATTAAATGAGATCAGAATCTTTACCACAACCTGCAGGATTTGCAAAGTGGAAAAGATAAAAAAGTAGGCCTTTGACCTTTTTGCTAGTGTCACTACACTGATGTTTTGAAAGGAAAAGTAGAATTGTTAGCAGAATATCTGAAGAAACCACTTCTATCAGACATCTTACTGGCTTTCCAAGGACAACTAAGCAAGTGGGCTTGGACAACAGAAAGGATTTTTCAGCTTCATCTTCATCAAAGATGTCTGCAAAGGGCTGAGCTTGGTTTTCCTCTTGTGAAGCCATATATTATCTAAGACTGGGGGGAAAAAAAGCTTGCTATAAAATACCATAGCTTATATATGTGTAAAATGACACATACTTAGAAATGGAACTGAATAATAATGTGTTACAAGGCGAATTGCTTCTAACAAAAGCTGTTAGAAGCAGCAGCAGCATTTAGAGAACATACACAATGCACCCACTACTAAGAGAAGAGCTGCTTCTGAAATATAAGGGATTGTCAGAACCACCCTCGATCCCTAGCTGCAACTATATGGTTGTTGATAATGACTCCTTTCTGACTCTCAAACTGCCTGTTACTCTTTTTTAAACAGCATGTAGTTGTTTCATTGCCTTTTCCTTCCTGTTCCAATTAACACACAGAGAAGTTGTAACTTCTCTCTGGTCTCTGCAATGGACCATGGACCTGCTAAGACCTTCTCTTGTGAGCTTCAGACACAGAAGAGTCCTGCCATGGTTAGTGGAACTACTCGCTGTGTCCACAGCTAGGTACACGAATAAGGCTTTGCAGAATTAAATCACGCTTCATGATCTGTTCTGTAATCCTCTGATAAATCCCAGCTCTTCCAGGACTAGCAAGAGATTGCACATCCAGTGCTATGCAACGAAGTAAAACTGAAGCAAGCTTCTGATTAAGGTAAGCTGGAACAAAGTTTGGGTGGGCCTTTCAAACAAATGGAGTCCAAAAATGTGAGAAGCTTGATGAAGCATGCTTGAAGAAGGCAAAACAAAACTTCGCTTTCTTTAGAGGGCCACTTAAATCTCCCCTCCCTGCCCAACCCCAGACATTTTTAAATTAAGAAATTCTACTTCAGGATGAAAATCTTAAAAATTTTGTTTTGACACATCAAACTGAAACATTCTGACACCGTCAGAATAATTCTGACTGACCGGGACAGTATTTTAATATTAAAAAAAACACCGCACACAAACCAGCCCTCCATTTCTCTCACGGAAACTCACGGGCTGAACTTCACCTGGCGTTTCCGGCCGTTCCACCCCCTTCCCGAACCCTTACAACAAAGGGGCAATTTCCTAATTACCAAATCCACCCCAACCAGGAACCAAAGAAATAAACCAGACCCCAGCGCAAAGGCGATCCCCGCCGTCGGCGCCCCTCAGGGACTGGGGGTTCACTTACGTTAAGCGAAGGGGGCAGAGCGAGGGCGCAACGCCTGCCGCACGCACCTCGCCGCCACCGGCTTGTGTACCCCCGTAACCCGGGCAACCGGAGAGCACCGCCCTCCGCCCCGCCCCCTCGGCAGGAGGATGCAGGCGGGGGCCGCA